GGCCCCGCCGAGCCGCCGGGGCGGGACACGGTTCCCTTCACCGCTCCCCCCTCGGTGCCCTCCCTACAGCGGCCCGGCCCCCGCCGCAGCGGCCCCGCACCCCCAGCCCAGCGCTCCCGTCAAAGGTGCTTTTTCTAATGCAACGTTACAACGCGTTCGTCTGGTTTTTTAGGTTAAATTGCTTTGCAGAGCCGGCTGTCCTTGCGTAACACCGGCCCCGCTCGGAAAGGCTGGTTCGTGTTTACGCCAAGGCAAAACGAGCGGAAGATCTGTCGGTCCCGCAGCGCTCAGACAGATCCCTGTGACCCTGGGAGATCGACAGACAGACAGACGGCGTGTTGAGCTGCCCAGAGCCTGAAAATAAACTGTCCTGAAAATGGGTTGAAAAATCAGAAGAAAAATGGCCTTCAGCACGCTGCTATGTGGCTCTGACAGTTTTTAGCCCTCGTATTCCGAGACTAACAGTAAAACCAGAGCCGTATTACGGTGTTTGATACTTTATTAGCTGTCTACACTTCTTTATAAATACCTGCAATATCGGAAATGTCACCACTATACCGAAGTAGTAAGTTATTAAAACACATTCTGAAAACGGTGTACAGAGCAAAATGGCACCTCCGTTAGCTCGACTCCCGGGAGTGCATTTTTTCCTACCTTTTAAGTACTGATATTTCTGAAATAATACTTTGTTGACGTAACATAAGAGGCAAACTCCTTTTTTTGCTTACAGCGTTCCCTCGGGTGCCTTCCATGGCTGATGACGCTTTGTTACTCGCTGTTACCTAATGGCTCCCTTATTTCCCGTCACTCTGCGGGAGCGGGAGCCGTCTGCGGGCAGGGCAACGTTTCCCAGCGTTTCCCAGCACCGATCTCTTTCACAGGCTCCGGCTGTGCTGAGCCTCTGGCCTGCTCCTGCAAGGCCTTTACATAACTACTTCATGTCAGAGGATACAAAATAGTGTTTTTAGACCCGGGTTAGTAAACAGCGTGGTTAAAGGTGGGGTTCTGGCCCCGCTGGAGTGGCCGGGGACGCATCACGGAGTTTGATGGACAGAAAGCGTCACCCTAAGCGGGGGGTAAAGACCGGAGCTCAGCACGCTGCCAGGTTCAGCCTCTGTGCTAAAGCAAGGAGAGACAACAACTGCCCCGCCTGCAAAACGCAAAGCTAAAGAAATAGCATTCCCCTTGCCCCAGCGGTCTCCCCTGGTGTCAGCGTTTGCTTTCTCCAAAGTGAAATCTTGCTGTGCATCTGCGTCCCCGTTGGAGGTGTGACCGTTAGTTAAAAAAAAGCACATTTCTGGTCAAGACCTAATATTTTTCCACTTTAAAACCCTCCTGAACGTCAGATCTCTCCTCTGCACTCGGCTTTACAAGCACCCTAAACATAAACGAGCTTCACGCGGTACGGATCAGCCCTTACGCACAGTCTTTATGATTTCCGCTTGTGCTGTAAATAAATACGAGAGCCGCTGTGTTACATTTGCCTTCCCGCCGCTCCGGTTACAGCTCTGACCCGCTGACCCACGCTCTGCGCCAGCCGGCTGTCGCTAACGGCGCCTTCCAGCTTCAGCAAAACTTTAATTTTTGTTTGCAGCCCCTCCTTTATCAACTCCTGGCTTGTACGTCCCCATCCTGGAAAAATGAACCGCATGTACAAATTTCGTTCTTCTCCGGTGGAGGTTTTTTTTGCCCCAAGACGTTGTTATACGCGTACGGCCCAAACCGCGAGGGGCGCAGGTCGCGGTCACCGCCTCGGGCTAGCAAACCTCGCGCCGGCACTGCGGAGCAGCCGCCCGGCTCTCTGTAATCCCCCCGCGCAATATGGCTTTTCCTGTCGGATTCCTTGTTCTGTGTTAAAATCTGCAAATGCTTATCCTGTGGCTTGGTAAATAACTGCCTAAAAAATGTCTTATCAAGAAATGTGTCGACTGATTTCATTTACCTTAAAAATCCCAAACAAAATACGTATAAACTCATTGTCCTCACGCAGGAAACAACAGCATCATTACACGTTACAAAGTCTTACAACGCGGCGTAGAAAGAGTTGCGTTGTTCTTTGTGAAAACTGGTCGTGTAAATCGTAACCTGGCACGCCGGCGCAGAGGCCAGACGAGCCAGCGTTCGGGTGCGTGACAATCCTACCGCCAACACGCACCCACAGCAAGCCTGAACGCGGGAAGGAACGGAACTGGAGTGGAACAAAAGCACAAATCAAGCAGAGGTCGTCTACGGTCTAGAGATAATAAAGGAACCACTGGCAAATGCTTTTTCTCCGGATGGGATCAAACAGGGTTCAAAAAGGCTCCTGCGAACCTTGTCCAACAGAGCAGCGAGCCCGCAGCTGGGTCTTGTGACGGCGACTGTAGATGTAACGTCGATGGTCAGCGATAATCGGGGCGCAAGCAAAGAAACGCTTCGGGACTATTTACAGGAACTTACAAAGCTCTGCCGTAAAGACAACTTACTGCCCTTGTAGGGAAGGTGAGAGAAATCCTTTTTCTGCTGTTTGCTCCTCATTTTTAAGCCACTTGGGATCTTTTCAAGCCATAGTGGCCAAAACCGTTAATTTGTCGGCAGACCGAGTCACCAGCCTCGTTTCCTCAGTCGGGTCCATACAGACACACACTCACAGCGACCGGGCACGACTGCACTGGCAACAGGACACGAAACAAGGACGCTCCACACGACAGACCACGGGCTCCCGACGCACACCTACGCTCGGGGCGCTCCTGTCCCCCCGGCTTCCCCCGCCTCTCCTGGTGCCAGCGTCCACGCGTCAGTGGGGTATTGCTTGTCGAAGCCGGGGGGAGCCGGCAGCGGCGCCGAGCGCGTTAGCTCTTGCAGCCGGCACCATTCACGGGAACCTTGGACACGGCGGGGCAGTCGCTCCGGAAAGCGTCAAGGTCCTCGGTGGCGGTGGCTTCGGGGCGGGTGGTCCCTGTCCCCTGGGGCAGGCAGGTGCCCTGGGGACCCCCCTGGCTGCGCCCGCTGCGGGAGCAGTCGTGGTGCCCGTGGTTGCCCAAGCGGCTGGAAGCCACCACGGCTTTCATGGCAGCCTGTCGCAAAGGCACAGCGGCACGAGCAGTTATTCGCGTGTGTTTCTCCCCTTCGATGCCGTCCCCGAGGCGCTCGAGCCCCCGGAGCGTGCGGAAGGGGAGATTGCGCCTGCTCCTTCAGCCATGCTGAGCTGGGAAGCGCAGCCCTTCGCCTCGGGCAAGGCTTTTCCCGGCAGCAGCCGCCTTCACGGGCAGCCCAGCTGCTGCTCCCCGGGGATGCCACGAGCCGCTCCATCGTCCTTCACCCCCCTCCCCGAGCCAGCCCCCCGAGCTGCCGCGTGTCGCTGAACATTTATCCGCTCGGGGCAGGGGATCCTTAAAGCCCAGCGACAGCGGCTCTCAGCAGCCCCAGCCGTTTGTGCGAGGGGACGCGAACGTGAGCCACCCCAGGGGTTAACGGGGCTTTTTCGCCTTACCTTCAGTTTCCGCCTGGCGTTAAATTCCTGCAGTTTCTTCTGCGTGCTGTCCATGTGAGCAAATTTGGCGGCT